GCCATTACGCCAACTGCTGGTCCCTCCTCTGGCAAAATCTTTAAAAAAAAAAATCCTGGCAGGCCCAGCCTCTGCAGTAGCATACTGAACTGCAGTGCTGGAAGCCACGTGGCCAGTCATCTGCAGGTTCGAATCCCTGGCCCAGTTAAGCTGAAACTTACTGGGTGTGCATGCCCAAGATCCTGACAAGCTGGAGGGTTGGGGAACGGGAGAGCAGCATGCCCGGACCCTGCTGAGGGCCCTCTCGCTCTCTGTCCCCACATGCATGCACACATGCTGTCATGAATAAAACACGTTTGAAAAAGTACTCTTGCGGAGTGGTTAAGTGCCTGGGGCGAGGGGCAGTCAGACCCGGCTCGATCTTGCATGATGCCCGCCACGTGCACAGATCCAGCCTCCGTTTCCTGTCCCCTGTTCACTGGTTTGTTTCTCACTGTCGCCCTCACATGCCACCACATGCGTCTTCCATACGGCACATGCCGTTGATCTGGGGCTCGCGCCACGCCTGTGCTGGGACCCGCTTGCGTTGTAGCACACGTTACTACGATGCACGTCCTCGCAGGCAGCCTGCTCAGTGGGCACGCCCCTCTTCTCCTCCCCAGAGAGACATCGGCTGGCGCCCGGACAGTACCCACCTGCTGGTGTTCTCCACGGAGTCAGCCTTCCACTACGAGGCTGACGGTGCCAACGTGCTGGCCGGCATCATGGGCCGCAATGACGAACAGTGCCACCTGGACGCCACGGGCACCTACACCCAGTATCGGGTGCAGGACTACCCGTCAGTGCCCACCCTGGTGCGGCTGCTCGGCAAGCACAACATCATCCCCATCTTCGCGGTCACCAACTACTCCTACAGCTACTATGAGGTGCGGGCCTGGGCCCTGCTGGCCGAGAGGGGGCATGCAACTTGCCAGGTGCCCCTTTTGGCCCCAAGCTTTTGGGCCCCCCAAGAGTGGTCCTGGTGGGAAGGGGAGGACCCCAACCCAACTCCTACATGGGCTCTGGAGCGCACCAGCAGGCTCTAGGCCTCAGCTTCCCCCTGTGCAAGGTGGGGGTGAGCCCAGAGCTGTCATCCAGACTCGATGCAATGCTTAGCCTGAGGCTCATGCTCCTTCCCACAGAAGCTTCACACGTACTTCCCGGTCTCCTCGCTGGGGCTGCTGCAGGAGGACTCGTCCAACATCGTGGATCTGCTGGAGGAGGCCTTCAACGTGAGGAGCAGGGCTGAGGGGGTGGGGCAGTGGCAGGGCTGGGAAACGGGCCTAGGAGAGGCCTGTGAGGATGGTCTCTGGCATCCCTGAGGAGCCCGCCTGGACCGGCCCCAGGTTCCAGCAGGCTCTGCCACTGCGATCCCCCATGCCAGGCTGTGGTCTGCAGGGGTGAGGGTGGAGCACAGCCAGGTCAGGCCAGTGCAATCAAGCAGGCTTCCCTACCTGGCCCACTGACAACCTGTCCTCTCTCAGCGCATTCGCTCCAACCTGGACATCCGGGCCCTGGACGTCCCCCGAGGCCTGCAGACAGAGATCACCTCTAAGATGTTCCAGAAGACGAAGACCGGGTCTTTCCACATCCGGCGGGGGGAAGTGGTATACCTCTGTGGGACGGCGGGGCCGGGGGCCGGGGGACAAGGTGTAGCACCCTGTGCCTAAAACATGGTGATGGGGGTGGCTGGAGACAGGCAGGCCTGGGGTCCGGTCCCCGTGGCCAGCCGCTTGGGTGGACGTGGCATGTTCCTTGGCTTTTCCGTGTCCTGTTCAAACAGTGGGATTAATGAGAACGAGGTTGGGCTGGCTCCGTGGCCTGGTGGTTAAAGTGGCTTATTCCACATGGCCAACCTTGTGTTTCGAGTCTTGGACCCACAGCTTGAGGAACATTCCAGGTGTGCATATTACTTTTCCCAAAGTAGAGAGAGAAGAGAAGGGATTGCAGTGCAACCACTCCCCAAGAGGGCTGCTTTCTCCTCCCTCTCTCTGTCTCTGGGAAGTACACATGCCCTGTAGCAAAAATAAAAACTAAAGGCAAGGTACTCGGAGAGTTGCCGTGCGGAGTAGAGGGGCCGATGTGATGGAAGCAAAGGAGGCTGTCAGTGTTGCTGTTGAGACTCTGTCCACAGGAGGGGGTTTTCAGCCCTGACAGGGGCTAGATCCAGCCACGTCCTGAAAGCTGGAGGGCAGGGCCTGTAGGAACAAGGGCCCACTTTTGCTGGACCTGCCTCGGCTGACAGCAGGGTCCCTGCAGGGCACATACAACGTGCAACTGCGAGCCACTGAGCACGTGGATGGGACACATGTGTGCCAGCTGCCGGGCGAGGACCAGAAGGGCATCATCCACCTGAAACCTTCCTTCTCCGACGGCCTCAGGGTCGACGTGGGCGTCATCTGTGACGTGTGTGCCTGCGAGCTGGGACGAAGCAGCCTGCCGGCGGGAGGGAGAAGCTGGGCCACACGCCTGGGGCCCTGGGTGATGGAGCAGGGCCTCCTGTGGCTGCACGTCCCTTACGGGTGTCGTGAGCACAGAGGTCCCCATACACGCCCTCGACCAGTTTGCTGGTCTCGTTCCAGCAAAAAGAGGTGCGGTCGGCTCTGTGCAACTTCAACGGGGACTTCATGTGCGGACACTGCGTGTGCAGCGAGGGCTGGTGAGTGTCGTAACCAGGGCGCCAGCTGCTCCTCCGAGGACCTGACCCTAGGCCCATTGTGTACGCCCAGCTGGGGGCGGGTGGCAGAGCAGGGCTGGGGGGGGCTCGCCCAGATTTTGAGTGAACCGTTCCAAGCACCTCGACAGGAAAAAGTCTGTTTCTGGAGAGCCATGGAGGTGCCACGTCAGGGTGGGACCTGGGTGCTGGGGAGCAGCTGCAGAGAGGAGAGGTATAAGGAGCTTCAGAAAGCTGCCGGAGGGGCCAGAAGTGGCACAAGTAAAATATGACACCAGGGCATAGTGGCTATGTCGCTGGACTCCCACGTATTCAACCACGGTTCGAATCCCAGACCTAGTGGCTTAAACTCATACTGGGCACATGTCCTTGCACGCCCAGGATCCTGAGAGGAGAATGGAGGAGAAGGGATTGCGGTGTGGCCACCCCCCGGAGCGCCATTTCTCTCTTTCTATTTCTCTGTCTCTGTCTTTCTGGCGAGCGCACATGCCCTATAGCAAAAACCTCTCCAAAAAAAAGTTTGTGGAAAATTTGAAGTGTGAGGTTTTTTAGGCGCAAATAAATTTTTAAACCATGCAACTTTTTCATAATATCCATTTCTATGAACTTTTTTTTTTTTTGTCAGAGGGAGAACGTATCACTCCCGAGGGGTGAAGTCGCACTGCAATTCTCCCTTCTCCATTTCTCCACCCTGCCAGGACTTTGGGCACACACAGGTGTTCAATGTATTTTTCTCTTTTTTTAGAATTATTTATTTAATTTTAAAATTTTTTTTTCAATTTGCTATAGAGCACATGTGCTCGACAGAGAAAGACAGAGAGAGAGAAAGTGAGAAAGCATCCCTGCCCCAATGAGGGAGATGGCCACATCACCATCCCTTTTCCTCCATTATCCTTCTGGGATCTGGGGCACACCCTGCTGATCCCACCAATTTTTTAAAAAGAATTATGTTATTTGGACCAGCAGGTGACGTGGTGGTTAAGGCACTAGACATTCCCACATGGCCAATCACGGTTTGAGTCCTGGACCTGGTGGTTTGCTTTCTCACTTTCCTTCTCTCTCTTTCTGTCTCTCTCTGATCAAATTGAAACAAATAAACAAACAAAAAAAGAATGAGTGAGTAAACACAATTAAATAAATAATTATTAAAAATAATTTTTAATTTAACTTTGTTTACTTTAATTTGACCAGAGAGGGACAGAGTGAGAGAGAGAGAGAAGGCAAGCCACCAGGTCTGGGACGCGAACCTCCATGTGGGAGGCCAGTGCCTTAAACCACCACGCCACCTGCCAGCCCCACAATGTTTTCCAAGTCACTGGGGCCGGGATTCAAGCCACAGCTGGTCATTTTGGATTGAGGCTCCCTTAACCACCAGGCCATGTGGCCAGCCCTCCATAAACTGTCTGAAGACCCCCTCGTCCCTTCACTCCGTTTGTGCAGCACTTTGAACCACAGGGCGTGTATCGCCTCACCAGAAATGAGCTGGTCAATGAACAGTGGTAAGGGCTTTGCGGCCTCCGGACGAGAGCAAGGCTGCCGTGGCCCGAAGCAGAGCAACAGCGAGGGAGGGACGCTGGGAGGGCAGCAGGGGACCGAGGTTCGCGTCTCGCTCAGCCAGTGCTGTCTGTGAGACTTGTCCTGCCGCAGCCCCTCAGAACCTGTTTCCTCCTCTAAAACGGGACAGTAGAGCCCCAGCCCTCCTCCAGGGCTGCGAAGTGACCGGTTCCTCCCTCAGGAGCGGCAAGACCTGCAACTGCTCCACCGGCTCCCTGAGCGACACGCAGCCCTGCCTGCGGGAGGGCGAGGACGTGCCGTGCTCAGGCCGCGGCGAGTGCCAGTGCGGGCGCTGCGTGTGCTACGGCGAGGGCCGCTACGAGGGCCAGTTCTGCGAGTACGACAACTTCCAGTGCCCCCGCACCTTCGGCTTCCTCTGTAACGGTGAGCTCAGCAGCGTGCCCGTGCCGAGAGCGGGGCCAGGAGGAGAGGGGGACCCTCCCTCCCAGACCCAGGCTGTCCGAATCCCCCAGTTCAGGCCCAGCCCCACTCCGGAGCTGAGAGCCTCCCCCAAGGCCTGCCCGACTTGGCTCTTGCTTCCTCACGCTGGACATTGTTTTAAGACCCCAGCTCCTTCAGGGTCTCTCCCATAGCTCAGGCCGGTACCCACCCCCCTCTCACTCCCCACCTTATTAGGGTGGGTACCACCCAGCTCGGCCCTTCATGGTGGGTTGGAATATGACAGGGTAATCTTTCTCCTCCCTGAAGATGCTAGATTTCTATGAGCAGGAGTTAAGAGCCCTCCGGATCCTCACTGGGCTTAGTTGGACTCAAGCCATGGGCACGTAGTCTGAGCGAGGGTCACAGAACTCAGACAAGGGAGGCGGAATGACTGGGCTGAATGAAAGTCCACTCATTGAATACTTAATTAACCCTCACTATATACTCACTGCCGGAGGCCCAGCCCCTGCTTTCCACCCTTTCGTCCATGGTTGCTTTTGTCCACCATTTCTTCTCTTCGACTGTCCACCCCAGAGTGTGCTCGAAGAAGTGAAAGGGAGAGAAGCAGACAGTTGGTGCAGTGGCGGTGTGAGAGGGGAGCAGAGGGGATGCTGCTGGGGAAGAGGCAGGGCCACAGTGCCAAGGGTGGGACTGGAGTCCAGGGCAGGACTTCATCCTTTAGGTAAAAGAGAGCCATTGGAGGTTTAAATTTCATTTCCTAATTGTATGGTAGTCTTGTATCTAGCCACCTTGTTAAACTCACTAAAAGAAATCTAACTATTTTTCTATAGTTATCCATATTCTTATGGATATTTTGTGACATGTTCCTGATACCTGCAAATAATAATAGTTTTACAAATCCTTACACATTTTATTTCTTTTTCTTACCTTATTGCATTGGCCAGGGCTCAGTAAAGGTTCTTAAATAGGGGAACCACATGACTGGATTTATAGTTTGGGATCATCAGTCTGACAATAAAGACAGAAGGTGGAATGGAGGGAGAGAGTTGGAGGGAAGGAGATTCCAGGAAAGCAAGGAAGAGATAGACTTCCTGTCTGGAAATTGCCTGGCTTCCACAGGCCCTGCCAGGGGCAGCCAGGACTGCCGGTATGAA